TGCTCTCTTCTCTTCCCCCCAAACCAGACTGTTAAGCCAGAGGAGCCCCTCAGGCAAACGCCTGGCATGTGTTGTCACCTCAGAAAAGGAAAAGGATGAGCAACATGTAATGGTTGTTGAACAAGATGGATCTATGTTTACCATTGACCTCAAAACCGCCAACAAGCATGGAAAGGTAGGTTTTGTGTGTGTGTGTGTGTGTGTGTGTGTGTGTGTGTGTGTGTGTGTGTGTGTGTGTGTGTGTGTGTGTGTGTGTGTGTGTGTGTGTGTGTGTGTGTGTGTGTGTGTGTGTGTGTGTGCGTGTGTGTGCATGTGCGTGAGCGTGCGTGTGCATGCATGCATGCACTTTTCATTCCAACTTTCCTTCCTCTCTCCCTCCTTCCCTTTGTTTTGGATTCTTTTTCACCATTGGCATCAAAGGTAGCCACAGGCACAAGAAGTATGTTTGGTCTGTCTTTTTCCCTTTCCTCTTCTTTTGATCTTGTTGGGGGGGTTCACTGTTGATATCATGTCTACCTACAAAAGGAAGAAAGATATTTTTTTCTTTTTTTTTTTTTGTCATATTTTGGCATTTGATGGTGAGTTTTTGTTAACCATCATCCTCAAAGCCACCAGTTCTATTAGACTGAAAACATAATATAATTTTTATTTTAGGGTTTAATAATGTAAACCCACACTGTAGATATGAACAACTTTATTATGTGAATTAAGATTATTATCAATAGGCGCAACTTTATTGCAAGGGCATTATATATGTGTATTTTCATTACTGTCTTCTGTAATGACGACATTGTAAAACTGTACAATGTTCTTACAGGTTTATGCAGATCCAGAATTTTCATGTCTGGAATGGTCACCAGATGATAAGATGATCACATATGTTGCAGAGAAAAAGAGAATCAAAGCAACAAGCTTCCTCACACCTTTTGAAGCGTAAGTAATCTGTATGAGTCATGCATCACTGGACATTCAGTTTTCATTGATAAATTTGTAAAAATTAAAAATTTATGACATATTTACGAAGAGAGTGTACAAAGTCCTCTCAGAGACAATAAACTGCATATTTTAATCATGTATTTCTTCCAGCATTAATCCATAATTCTATGAACAAATATTCTAAAATTCAGATCATGTCACTGTTTTGCATCTAATATGATGGCATTATATACAGAACATCTACAATGGCTGGGAACACATCAGCTAACAACATGTCTTTTTCAGCAGGAGAGAGTGTACACTTACACAATTCACAATTTTTTCCTACATTCATGCTTCATGATAGTTCATCACACATTCTTTGAAATTAGGACTTACCTTATTTTAACGAGCAGGCATTATGGCTTTTCCAACCATAAAGAATTCTCATGTTGATGATATTTTATTTGTAATATAGAAAAATATTCTAGACAGAATATTTTTAAAACTAATATTACTTCATAAATCTAAAAAGAAATCTTATCATCCATTCCATTAGAAAGTTTCCAAAATTCATGTGGTTACGTAGGTAATTTTTTCATGAGCCACAATCATCAGATTACATCTTTAATATGTAGTAGCTGTATTATTATTATTTATTATTATTATTTTTTTATTATTATTATTATCATGATGATGATGATGATTATGATGATGATTATTATTATTATTATTATTATTATTATTATTATTATTATTATTATTATTATTATTATTATTATTCACTAGTTGATTTAGGTATAACCGATATATTGGTGTCTGCTAAATATCAGATTCATAATTTAATGATTTACAGGAAAAAAAGTACCTTGTTAATATTGTTTTAGTAACTTAGTTGTTATTATTATTATTGTATTATTGTTTTTTTATTGTTATTGTTATTCTTGTGATTAACATAGATGTTATTGTACTAATGTTTATGATATTTTTATCATTTTTAGTGATAGTAGTAGTACTGTTACTATCATATTACCATTGAAGTTAATGCACAAAATTTCTCCTAATGAATTATGTCAGAAAGCAAAGCACAATATGAAATGAGATATATAAACAAAATGAAATTGATTTTAATCAAATAGATAGATAAATAACCATCCTTAAATCACCCTGACTCTTGTTTTTTTTTGCAGTGAAGGGGAGGATGGCCGTGGACAAGAGTACGTCCATCATAACGAGTGGGGAGAGCAGCTTGAAGGAAAACACAAGGTTAATATATTTTAATGCATAGTTTTTTTAGTTTACTTTCCTTTCTTTTCATTGTTACTTTTCTCTCCTCCTCCTCCCTCCTTCTTTTTCTTCTTCTGTTTCTTTTTCAAAATCAGCTACTTCTACTGCTGATTCTTCTTCTGCTTACATTTGTTTCTTGTCTTATTTTGTCTTCTTTTTCTTTGCCTGATAAAAAGCAGGGGGTCAGGAGTCAATCATGATTGATATTTTACGTTATCATGTAGACTAGTATCAAGTTTCTTTTTAATAACACTTTTTCTTCTTTTTCTTCTTCTTCTTTTACGTTTTTGCTCTTTCTTTTCGTTTCCCTTTTTTTCTTTGTTGGAGTCACCAACTATTTTTTTCCCTTCAGGCTTGTCTTGATTGTTATGGATTATACTGGCTGCAAAGAGTTCACAGTAATCAAATCTATATTGTATAAAGGATGTATAACTTTGGAAATATTGCAATTTGTTTCAATTTTGTTTTTATTTTGGTTTATCTTTTTTTTATATATATATATTCTTTCTTTCTCCCTTTTTTCTCTCTCTCTTTTTCTCTTTCTCTCTTTTTCTCTTTCTCTCTTTTTCTCTCTCTCTCTCTTTCTCTTTTCTTCTCTCTTTTTTTCTTTCTCTCCTCTCTTTTTCTTTCTTCTCTCTCTTCTCTTTTTCTTCTCTCTCTCTCTCTTTTTTCTCTCTCTCTATTTTTTTTTCTCTCTTTTTCTCTCTTTTTTTTCTCTCTTTTTTTCTCTCTCTTTTTTTTCTCTCTCTTTTTTTCTCTCTCTTTTTCTCTCTTCTCTTTTTTCACTCCCTCTCCCCTTTTTTTCACTTTTCTTCTTTTTTCTCTCACTCCCTCTCTCTTTTCTTTCTCCTTTCACTTTCTCGGCTTTCTCTCTTCTCTCTTTCTCTCTTTCCTCTCTTTCTCTTCTCTCTCTCTCTCTTTCTCTCTCTCTTTCTCTCTCTTTTCTCTCTCTCTCTCTTTCTCCTCTCTCTCTCTCTCTCTCTCTCTCTCTCTCTCTCTCTCTCTCTCTCTCTCTCTCTCTCCTCTCTCTCTCTCTCTCTCTCTCTCTCTCTCTCTCTCCTCTCTCTCTCCTCTCTCCTCTCTCCCCCTCTCTCTCTCTCCCTCTCTCTCTCTCCCTCTCTCTCCTCTCTCCCTCTCTCTCTCCTCTCCCCCTCTCCCACTCTCTCTCCTCTCTCCCTCTCTCTCCCTCTCTCCCTCTCCCCTCCCTCTCCCTCTCCTCTCCCTCTCCCTCTCCCTCTCCCTCTCCCTCTCCCTCTCCCTCTCCCCTCCCCTCTCCCTCTCCCTCTCCCTCTCCCTCTCCCTCTCCCTCTCTCTCTCTCTCTCTCTCTCTCTCTCTCTCTCTCTCTCTCTCTCTCCCTCTCTCTCTCTCTCTCTCTCTCTCTCTCTCCTCTCTCTCACTCTCTCTCTCTCTCTCACTCTCACCCTCAACTCTCACTCTCACTCTCACTCTCACTCTCTCTCTCACTCTCCTCTCTCCTTGCTCTTTCTCCTTAAATAGGAATACTCTTTTTTCCCCCAGAGCGTGGTATGCATCCTGAATGTAGACTCAGGAGAGCTGTCAACCCATGACCTCCCCGACGCAGCTTTGTCCTGGCCAGCTAGTGTGGGGTCCAGGGGGAAATGGCATCTTTGGGTAGCCTTCGTGAGCAAACCTTACCGTCTGGTCTCGTCGTCTATTGCCCCAATAGGGAGTCCAGACTCTTTTACATGGACTTGGAAGGCAGATACAAGTAAGTGATAAGGGAATGTGGTAGGTTGTTGCTGTAGAGTTTTTATACTCTCCAGTGTGTTCATCATGTATCTGTGATGTAATCAATCAATCTACGCACGCATACGCACACACCACACACACCACACACACACACACAACACAACACACCACACACACAGCACAAAACACCACACACAACACACACACACAACACACACAACACACACACACAACAACACACACAGCAAATACACACACATAGCACACACATACACACACAACACACACATACACAAACAAAAAAAAACACACAACAAAAGAACAACCACAAAAAACAAAATCAAAACACAAACAAAAAACACACAATACAAAAACACACAAACAAAAATACACACAGCACACACAAAGAAATACACACACACACGCAAAAAAAATCAAAAACGACACTCGCAAAGAAAATAAACCACAAGCACCATAGCGCAAAAATAAGCACACACAAACATGCAAAACAGATACAACACACATGGCGTATGTAAAAATACAACAGAATAACAGAAACACAAAATTGCAAAAAACAATACACACTACACAAAAAAAAATAAACTAAACTACACAACAAAAACTACAGCAACAGAAAAAACAAAAAAAAAAAAAGTACATAAAACACAACAAAAAAAGCAGACACCACAAAAAAACAAATGCACAATAAAAAAAAATAACTGAAACACAACAAAAAACATGCACACACGCCAGCACGCAACAACAATTCAACAAATCTACAAACACAAAAAACACACGCACACAAAAGAAGATAATCACACAAAACACACACACAAAAAAAAATAACACACACAAACACACACACATGCAAAATACCAAACACAAAAAAAAACACACACACAAAAACACAACACACATATAATCCATATGCATATTAGGATAACTAAAAATAGATGTTATTGCTATATTAGTATCTATAATCTAAAAAAAAAAAAAGAAAAAAAAAAAAAAAAAAAAAAAAAAAGAAAAAATGCATAATGTACATATGCATCTCATGAAATCAAAAGTATAAAAAAATAAGAAATAA